GCTAGAGCGGAGAGATGGCGGAGGAAGGGAGTGCAAGAGAGTAAACGGGCTAGAGCGGAGAGAGGGCGGAGGAAGGGATGGCAAGAGAGTAACCACAACTCACTCCCGGGAGAGGTGGGGTGGGAAGAGGCGGCTTGGGGAGGGGGGGGCAGATAATAGATAAGCAGAGTTGGAAGGGACCTTGGAGGTCATCTAGTCCAACCCCCCCCGCCCTCAAATATTGGAAGTCGGCTCTCCTGCCTCCCCTGGTCCTTTTGTTCCTTAAAATCAGATGAAAGTCAGATGAACAGAGTTGGAAGGGACCTTGTAGGTCATCTAGTCCAACCCCGTCCCGCCCTCAAATACTGGAAGGCGGCTCTCTTGTCTCCCCTGGTCCTTTTGTTCCTTAAAGTCAGATTATGAGATGGAAGGGACCTTGGAGGTCATCTAGTCCAACCCCCTTCTGCCCTCAAATACTGGAAGGCTGCTCTCCTGTCTCCCCTGGTCCTTTTGCTCCTTCAAATCAGATGAAAGTCAGATGAATGGAGTAGGATAGGGACCTTGTAGGTCATCTAGTCCAACCCCCTCTGCCCTCAAATACTGGAAGGCTTCTCTCCTGTCTCCCCTGGTCCTTTTGTTCCTTTAAAGTCAGATTATGAGATGGAAGGGACCTTGGAGATCATCTAGTCCAACCCCCTGCGGCCCTCAAATATTGGAAGGCTGCTCTCCTGCCTCCCCTGGTCCTTTTGTTCCTTCAAATCAGGTGAAAGTCAGATGAACAGAAGTCGGAAGGGACCTTGTAGGTCATCTAGTCCAACCCCACCACCCTCAAATATTGGAAGGCCGCTATCCTGTCTCCGCTGGTCTTTCTCTTTCCTAGACTAGCCAGGCCCAGTTCCTGCAACCGTCCGTCGTGTGTTTGAGCCTCCAGTCCCCTAAAATCATCTCCGTTGCTCTTCTCTGCACTTTTTCCAGAGTCGCAACATCCTTTTTGATCGTGTGGTGACCAAAACTGGACGCAGGACTCCGGGTGTGGCCTCACTAAGGAGGGAGGGGGCCATGTTCCGGGGAAAGCTGCGGAGAGAAGGCGGGGGAGTCCGGGGTGGGATGGATGACCTTCTTGGCCAAGACCCCCCCACACACACACCCATGCCCACCTCTCGAATTCTTTGGTCTTGGTACATTCCTGCACCCCTTTGCTGATGACGATGAGGAAGTCCTGGGTGAGGACGAAGGGGACTCGCTCACGCTTGTACCCGAATTTCTTCTTCTTGTGGTCCAGGAAGTGCCCGAAGTCGATGTGGAAGAGCTGCAGAGAGAGAGAGAGTGAGAGAGAGTGAGAGAGAGTGAGAGAGAGAATGAGAGTGAATGAGAGAGAGAGAAAATGTGAGAGAATGAGAGAGAGAGAGAGAGAGATAGAATGAGAGAGAGAATGAGAGACAATGAGAGTGAATGAGAAAGAGAGAGAAAATGAGAGAGAATGAGAGAATGAATGAGAGACAGAGAAAATGAGAGAGAATGAGAGAGAGAAAGAGAATGAGAGAGGGAGAAAGAGAATGAGAGAGAGAGAAAGAGAATGAGAGAGAGAGAGAAAAGGAGAGAGAGAATGAGAGACAATGAGAGTGAATGAGAGAGAGAGAATGAGAGAGAGAATGAGAGAGAGAATGAGAGAGAATGAGAGAGAGAATGAGAGAGAATGAGAGAGAATGAGAGACAGAGAAAATGAGAGAGAATGAGAGACAGAATGAGAGAGAGAGAATGAGAGAATGAATGAGAGAGAGTGAGAGACAGAATGAGAGATAGAGAAAGAGAGAGAATGAG